GCCACGTCCACAGGCAGTGGAATGGCCGCGTCCTCTGTGGCACGTTCCCAGGGCAGACTTAGCCATGCGGCCCAGAGTGGACGCTGGCCACTGCACAGTGGGCTGGGCCCTAGGAAATGCTGAGCCGGGTGATCCAGGAAGAAAAGACTGACCACCATGCTGGTCAGAACCCAAACCAGTCTGGACAGGCTACTTCTGGGGGAGAGATGCCTGGGTGGGCGTTAAGGGGGCCTCCTGAGGGTGGCGATGTCCACTACTTGGCCTGGGTGGGTACGCAGGTGCACTCAGTTGGTGAAGAATTCATCAGGTGAGGGGACTGGCGCTTTTCCCCATGAATGCTTCACAGAGCAGAAAGCACAAGTCAACGCACACGGCACTGTCCGTTATGGCTGTAACCAGCCCAACACGGGTGGGAGAGATGGAGGCAAGAAACCCTGAGGTCGCCAGTGCCCAGGGCCTCCAAATCCCTGGGGTCACCTGCCCCTGCCTCTAGACTCTAGAGAGCTGGCGGCTGGCTGGCAGCCCTGGCTAACGGAGGGGCACCCTGCTGGCCACCGCTGCACCCTCGGTTCACTCTTGTCCCGCCCGCCCCCAGCCTTCCCGACTTCGGAACTGACGCTTGGCCGCTTCCCACCTGACGGTGTAAGATGGCGCCTCCGTTCTTGCCAAATATCTTTTTAAAATGCAATGTGTGTTCCTCCATCGTCTCTCGGTGTGGACGCTGGTCACAGGCCTGGGGCACTGGTGCTGAGGCTTGGAGGGGGAGGTGGTGGCCGCTGCGGAGGTGGTCAGCGGCTCCACCCTGCCGGTGTTGAAAGGATTCAAGGCACGTCAGGGTGGACGTCTGTGCCGGGGACTCAGGTTATGCAGCTCGCTTACTGACTGGCCACCTGGCAAGGCGTATTAAGCTGTCCGGTGCAGTGCTGGCCCACCCGTTTGCGCCGTGTCGGTGGGGCAGTATTTCCAAACGATGGACGCTTGCTCTGGACAACTGCTTCCAGCTTGCAGGGCCTCCGGCACCTCTTGAAGCCTTTTCGTTTCTGTTGCGGTCAGCTGTCTGGCCGGTCGGTTCTGCTCGTTCCGGCGCTGGCTGGTCAGCTTCCTGCGCTCGTGGTGATGAGCTCTTCTGGTGTGTCCCAGAGGTCCTCGCTGGTGGGAGGCTCAGCCCACTGGCTGGACGGTGGTGGAAACCCAGACTCAGCTGCCCACTGACAGGATGCTGGTGCCTGCGTGGTTCCGGGTGCCTCCACCAGAGATTGAGGTCAGCTGGGTGTGGGCAGAGCGCTTTAACGACTCTCTGGGCTTTTCTTGGTGTTTCTGTGGGGAGCTGGGTGTGCCGTCCTCTCCGTTCGGGGATCCAGACCCCCTGGGAAGCGGCCTAGTGTCTTTGGGGGAGCCAGCACCGCCTTTCCCAAAACCCATGTCTCCTGATGCATCTGGCTCAGGGGTCAGCCCACTACTGTTTGGGTCGGAAGTGATGAAAATGAACACCCCCAGCAACGTGGGGAAGGCGGATGGATGGCACAGCCTGAACTCTGGCATGCAGGGGTGGGGCGGCCTGAGGAGAAGAATCGTTACCTTTGCTTCCAAGATCAAGGACATCGTAGAGGGGGTCTTGAAGGATGAATAGGAGTTTACCAGGCAGGAAAAAATGAAGAAAAAGCATATTGGAAGGAGGACCACGACATACAAAGGCAAGGAAGTACAGAGTTTACAGTCTGAGGAACTACCACATCAGCCGGGAGATTGGTGGGAGTAGAGTTTAGGATGGGAAGCGGGGGTCAGACTTAGGGAGCAGAGTCCCGAGGGCCTCAGGACTCGCGGGAGGAGAAGCACCCTGAGTGTGCAGATGCCCAGTGAGGAAGGCAGGTGAGGGAGGGAGCCCCTGGTGGCAGATGGCTACGGGGCTGCTCCTGTAACCCAGGTGGAGAGTGTTGGGGACAGGCGTTGGGGACAGGACTGGCGCAGGAGCACAAGGGGAGGAAGTGGTGACTGTACCGGAGACCACTTAGGCGGGGCGGTCCAGGGCCATGGCAGGAGGCTCAGCAGGCGTGTGTGACGGGGAGTGGGGCGGGGGGGGGGGGGGGGGGGGGGGGGGGGGGGGGGTTGGGGCTCAGGGGAGGATGGTACCTTCGGCTTGGAATGCGCTGGGGTCATGGGGCGCCTGGGTGGAGCCTCCAGCAGCTGCAGGGACCAAGAGGCTGGAATCCAGCTTGGCTGGAAAACACCAGGCAGAGCAGGGGGGAGAAGGGAGGACGCGGGGGGGTCGGGGGCATGTGGGATGGGGCCCACGAGGGCGGGGACACGGGTGGTGGGGTCGCTGCTGGGCCCCGGTGCCCGCTCAGACCTGCACACGCTGACTGGGTGGTCGGGCAGGTGGATGAATGATGCACCGGCTGCCTCGGCATCCTCGCTCTTCGGCCCCCCCCCCCGTTCTCCCCACCCTCTGCTGCTGCTCGGGGCACCTCTGGACCCAGACTCGCCTCAGCAACTGTGGCCACTCACCCCCTCTCCCCCTCCTGGGTCAGAGCTGCGGGGGGCAGTGAGGGTGGGGGGGCCCACTCCTCCCAGGGTGAGCCACCGCGGCGGTGGGGGTCTGTCCGGTTCTGGCAGCTGTTGGGGCTGTGTCGTGTGGGGTTCTTGTGGGATTCCTTCCGGGGCTGCTTTTCCTCAACAGTCTACTGAGGGGAGAAGACCCGAGAGCTGCCGGGTGGGGCCTGGCAGGGGACCCCGCTCCTCGGCAGCTGAGGGCCCCCCTGGCGGTCTGGCGGGAACAGGGCTGGGAGGGGGGAGGGCTCAGACCCCAGACGTCCCGCTCCAAACGCAGAGGTCACTTATAAAGGAGACAAAGAGCTTTTGATAGTGAAACCTGAACTGATAGGCGCTCTGGAGGCGCCTGAGCGTGTCCCGGGCCGCGCCAGGCCTCGAGCCACAAGCCGCAGGTGAGCGGTGGGGACCGGCGGCCCCGCGGGCTGGGGCCTCGGCGGCGGCACCGGGCAGCCAGACGCTGCTCGGGGCAAGCGGAGATGAAAGCGCACCTCTGCATTCCTGCTGGCGACCCCCTGAAACGCACGTCCACATGCCCGTGGATTTTCTGCTTGGAGGAGCATTCCTGAGCCTTGCTGCCAGCGGAACAGGGCGCTTCCCCCACCGAGTTCTCTGGCTGGTTACCGGTCAGCTGAGCCAAAGGCCGCCAGGCAGCCCAGCGGCTCCTGGAAGGCGGGGGCGGGGCCGGGGGCTGCCGGGAGGCCAGCCTGGCCACCCCGACGGACACCGGCTTCTTGTGGCTTCACAGACCGCAGCAAACGGGGGGAAAGAGGTTAAAACGCACATTTATTTTAACAAATTATATTAAGAAGACAGTCACACAGTGAAACTCCCTCTACCCAGAACAAGGGTCACCTCAAATAAATACAGGCGGGTAGGACGCCTTCCGGGGCGGGTGGGGGGCTGCCCGGGCCCTGGCGGCCACACTCAGGCCTCGGTGGGGGCCGGCCCGGCCGGCCGAGCGAGCAGGCTCAGGGCTGCGGATCGAGGCCCGTCTGCCCCCTCCTGGGGCGGCCCCTCACCCCTTCACCGGCGCCCCGCCGGCCACGTGTCCCCAGCACCGGTAGGATGGGTGGCCACAGGCGTGTCCACGAAGGGACTGGGAAGCAAAAGGTCCATGTGAGGCGTGTGCTTGTGGGGGGTGGCTCGGGCCCAGGCCTGCCTCTGCCACTGACCAGCCTTGTGCCCGTGGAGAGGCCGCAGCCACTTCACCAGGAAGGGGGCAGTCAGCATCCACGCTGGGTGCTGGCATTGTTGGGGGCGGGGGGCAGGAGATGTGCTTAAAGTGCCAGCCTGGTGCCTGGCTAGTGGCGGTACCCCGTGTGCGTGGCCCCCAGCCGCCCTGGAAACCTGGGCAGGTGGAAAAGTGGGGTGACCAGCATCAGCACCTCAGACTGCCATGTGCCTCCTGCTGGTCAGTGGTGGGGGGGGCTGGGCAGCCGGCAAGCTGGGGTCTCACCCGCGCCTTGCCCCGGACCCCCTTCTCTCCCCTTGGAGGGGAGAGGCCGCTAGTGGATCCTGGACGCAGTGGGAGAAAAGGCCTTGTTGTGAGTTAATGTGGCTGGAGCTTACGCCTCCTCACCATTGTGCAGCTCCAGGGCTTCAGAGGCGGCGGCCCGGGCTCCAGCAGCCTGCGGGAGGTGGAGGAGGCTGTTGCCGTCACGCTCGAGAGATCCGTGTCCTTCCCGCCCACAGGGACCAGAGGGCTTGTGAAGAAAAGCACCGTCCCAGGAGAAGCCAAGGTCTTCCCCACACAGGTGTGCACCTGTCGCCCGCGCTGGTCCCCGCCTGCATCTGCCACCCCCCGCTCCTCATGGTCCCGGCTGTGTGCATGGAACTGCAGGATGGGGCCTCCTGCGTCTCGGGCGCCCGGAGCCCCCAGCCGCCTCCACAGCGCTGCACCGGGCCTGCCGGACGGCACCTCTGCTGGGCTCCGAGTCACCCGGTTTCGGGCCAGCCACAAAGCTGCAGAGACGGGCTCCCAGCTCCCCGGGAGCACAGCCAGCCTGCTCGGTGAGTGCTGGGTCCTGCGCCCCAGCAGAGGCCCTCATGGGGGGCGGCCACCTCCCCGGGGGAGAGCCCCGTCCGCTGGCATGTGCAGGGGGGCGGTGGTGAGGGAGGCAGCCCCGCCAGGCGTGGCCTGGGGCAGGGGACAGTGGTTGCCACCCTACACAAGGCCCGGGCGGGGCGCAGGGCACAGGACCCCGGGCAGCGGCGCCCGGCCGTCATGCAGGCCTGGGAGGCATTTCCCGCCCACCTCCCAGCGGTGGCGAGCGGCGCCCTCCTGTGCACCCTGGCAGGGCGGGAGCGGGCAGGGCCACCACACCGCACAGCCCAGACGCCGGCCCTGCGTTCTGAGCACCAGCCAGCGGGAGGCGCCACGCTCTCTGGCACGGGACAGGCTGGCAGTCGGCCTGGGCGGGGGGTGGGGGCCGCGCCGCAGGGTGGCAGGGTGGCTTGTCCGCTGCTGCTGGCAGGTGCGCCCGGAGCCGAGGTGACTGTGATGGGCGAGGCGCGCCTGAGGCCCGACTCCCGGGGCCGGAGGGAAGCCGTTGTCCCGTGAGCAGAGGCCTGGACACAGCCGAGCTTGAAGCGGCGGCGCACGTCCACACCCCTTCACCTGGGGTCTCTGGGCCGAGGCGTTTGCAGTTGCTGTTGGCACGTGGCTGGCTGGGCGAGCCCTTTGTGGGACCAGGGCCCCGAGAGTGCGCCAGGGCCCCAAACTCCTCCTGGGGAGTTGGGGCCCTGCCCTGCGGCCGCTCCTGACCTCGGCTCGTCCAGTGTTTGAGGGACAAGTCCCAGGGTGTTCACAGTGGGGTGGGAGCGGCACGTGGCCCCCCAGCTCCCTCCCAGGCCCTCAGGGTGCAGGTGAGGGGTGAGCAAGGGGCGGGCTCCTCCCGCGCCCCGAGTCTCCTGGGAGGAAGGTCACGCCACCCCGAGTGGCGGTGACGGGCGGGAGCCGCGGGCCCGGAGGGCGACTGGTCAGCACACAGACAGGTTAGGGTGCTGGTCACGACAGCACGCGGATTAGTCACGGTTAGGAACGACGGCCCGAGGCGGGGCGCCACGCGGGCAGGCGAGGGCCGGGAAGGGGCAGCCCAGGCCCCAGCCGGCCCGGCAGGCGGTGTGGAGGGCGAGGGGCGCTCCGTAGTCAGGGCGGACGCTCTTGTCCCCTCGGCGCTGGCCCTCAGGACTGGGGGATCTGCTGGCAGCGGGTGGGGCTGGGCGGGAGCCTGGCGGCTGCGCTCTGCTCTGTCCGGAAGCTGTACTCGTACTGCGGGAGGGACAGAGGCACGGTCAGCAGGGGACGCCCGCGAAGGCCCCTCCCCGGCAAGGGCAGTGTCGGCGGGGACCCCTCCCGGGCCCGGCCGCCCACCCGCGGGGTGTCCACGGGCAGGTGGTGGGTGCCCAGTGCTGCCGCCGACCCCCAGGGAGCTCGTCCTGAGTGAGGGTTTTCTGCTGAGCTCACCAGGGCTGCCCTTTACCCTGTTTTAGGGGGGAGCCCCTTTCAGGGGGATCCTGGCAAAGCCCACGACCACTGACCTAACGACCCCTCGCCCCCACAGCCCACGGGCCACGCAGCTGCCCGGTGTGGGAGTGGCCTCCCACCTCTCCGCGAGGCCTCCTCAGCCATGGGCAGGCCCAGGATGGCCGTGGCCAGCTGTGGGGCGAGGCAGGGGCTGCCTTCTACACGGGGTGAGCCAAAGGGCCCGGTGACAGCCATGACACGACTGTGGCCCCTACAAACGTCACCTGTCACTGAGAGGGGAGGGTGGGGACGGGACATTCGGGGAGTCTCAGGTTTCTCTGACCCTCAGCAAGCCCCTCTCTAAAGTGCGATGGCCACCTTGATGCCCAGCCTGCGGGTGGGTGGAACGACAGCCAGGAGGTCAAGGACCCACTGTCCTGACGCCCGGCTCACGCAGGCTCAGGTCAGGGGATCCATCTTGGCCCCCCACCCCTACCCACTGCCCTGCTCTCCAGTGTCCAGCACACAGGCCCAGGCCAGGACACTGAACCCAGGAGGCTGGCCAGGGATGCTGCGGAGGTGCAGGGCGGCTTTGGGCCAAGTCTGGGACAACACCGCCACCTGGTGGCCTCCCAGGCACATCACCGCAGGAGTGTCCCTCAGCGAGGCCACCTCCTCCCCTGGCTGGGGTGCTGGGCCAGGGAGCAGGGGACCCACGCAGGCACAGCGAGGCCTTTAGCAGAGTACACTCTGGGGCGTCACGGAGGATCTTGGGGGGCAGGGCAGCTGCAGTTACAGGCCTGGGGCTGCTTCAAGAAAACCACAGGCTCAGAAGGCGGGAGGCCAGCCTGGGCTCGCGGGGAGGGGGCAGGGAGCCAGCTCTGCCCACGGGCCCAGGGCCCGGGCTGCAGACGTTGCAGCCGAGGCTATTAGAGACACCCGGGGACCGCAGTTCTAGGAGGGCGAAGGTGGGAAACAGGTGGGCAGGGCACGCAGGCGGCCATGCCCGGTGGGCCCTGCGGATCCGCATTTTCTACCACTCCCAGTGATGGATATTGCTGGCCGCGGCCGGCTGAGGCAGCCACCTCTGTGGCCTCACGGCTGGCCCCCGGGGACCGGGAGGGTGTGGATGGCCACGGGCAGTGGGGTGCTGGGCGGCCTCACTTTGGCTGCTGAGGCCACACATGGGCACCTCTCAAATGAGAGTGGCCCCAGCGCCAGGCACAGCCATGGCACAGCCGAGCTGGGGCAGGGGCTGGCTCTGTTGGAGGAGGCGGGCTGTGGGGAGGGCAGGCCAGCCCCAGAGAGCCCCCAGAGACCGGGCCGGCGCAGCGAGGGCATGCTGCGGGCAGTTCTGATGGCGGGGGGGGGGGGCCTGAACATGGGGGTGCAGAGCATCCCTGCTGGGTGCAGTGGCCGGCCAGGGAGCGCCCTGGAGGGAGTGGGCACTTGCTCGGCTTTGCTTGCCGGGCTGCGGCTGGAGCATAACATGCACACTGGCCTTTTCCCACAGCCTGCGTGCCCAGTGCCCCTCCCGGCCAGGCTGGGGTCCCGGGTGTAGGCTGCTGCTCCCCCCACCCCCCCCAACCTGTGCCTCTGGGATTTTCCCCTTTTTAGATTATCTCGGCTGGAAAAGCGTTACACCCCCACCTCGCAGTAGGGCTGAATTTCATTCTCCCCAAATGAAATTTCAACATATGTCCCCCGACTTAATCCCCTCCCGGCTGCGGATAACCCTCCCACAGACGCCCGTCCTCCGCGGGGATTGCGGACCCCAAGTGTTTGCCCAAGAGACGGGGCCTTCTGGAAGCCCTTTCACTCCCTTGGGCAAACAGCGAGTACCTTTGAAGGTGGATTTGGGCCCGGATCTGTTTACTGAAGACATTAGTCTCCTGCGTAAGGAAAACCTGCACTCGAGTACAAACAGCAAATCCCTTTTGAATTAAAAAATTTTTCAATTAAAAAGCATTTGGGGTCGCGGCGCGGAGCCCAGCTGGGCCGCAGCGCCCCCTGGCGGGCACGGGCCGCCACCACGCAGCGCGGACGCAGGCGAGAGAGACCAGAGACCCGGCTGGGGCTCACCAGCGGCCACCCGCAGCTGACCCTTCACGGACTTATTCCCCAGGGCCTGGTGTCACAGCGAGGCCAGCGTCCTGACAGCGGGAAGTGCTAAAGCCACTTTAGCTCCAGCACAGCTGGTAAAAAGAGGGGGGAAGAGGGAGAAGAGGGGAGGAGGGACCCACCCCTATCCCTATGGTCAGGGTCCACTCACTGGGGTGTGGCGACCATCATTTAAGACAAGGTGTGACAGCACCTGGAGGGTGAAAATGTCAGTCTTCCTGACGCATCAGAATCGAGGGTCTGACCCTGAGTGGGGGTGGGTGCAGGGCTGGTGGATTTTAATGGTCAGGCAGGTGCTCGCTGCCTGCAAACTTTTTTTTTTTTTAAGCAAGTATCACTTAGAGAAAGGAAGGCGGCCCCCTCTGCCACTGAAGGGGAGACTGTGACGCAGAGGGCTGCGCTGTGGACCTGACACTGTTCTCGAGTGTTCTGTTTCCTCCATGGGCCCCTTCACGTTTGGGTGATGCTCACACAGACGTGTGAAAGTGGGAGGTCCTGGGGTCCCAAGCACCCCAACCCCCTTTCCAAGAGGAGGGACCCAGTCCGACCTGCCCACCTGTCCTCAGGGCAGCCTCACCCCCTTCCTGCTCTAATCCGAGACTCGAGCGAGGTGGGCTAACACCTTCCCCTTGGGCTCAAGTGAAGTGCCGCTATGTCTCCCCTTGGGGACGGCCTGAGCCTCCCGCCCAGAGTCAGGGTTTGGTTTCCGAGGCCTTTCCCAGGCCTGAGAACCGTCTCCTCTCCAGGCAGCCGAGAACATTCCCGAGTGTGCGGCACCACGATGCTGCTGCCTCTGGCTAATCCCTACCTGTCCTGTACGGCTGCTAACGGGGACCCCCGCCTGGGGAGAACGAACCACAGACCTGTGGGCCCCTCACTGAGTAGCCTCCTCGAGTGCAGAATGGGGTGGGGTGTGGGCACCCCTGCAGTTCCAGGTGCAGCTCGTGGCCGGAGCAGAGGGATGGAGGAGGAGGGGGTGCCTCGAGTGCAGAATGGGGTGGGGTGTGGGCACCCCTGCAGTTCCAGGTGCAGCTCGTGGCCGGAGCAGAGGGATGGAGGGGGAGGGGGTGGGGGGATAGGAGAACTTCCAGGCAAGGGAGGGGGTGGTGGTGGAGGAGGAATGGCACAACTCTCAGGAAGAGGTAGAGGAGGGGGTAAAGGAGAGGATGGGGACAGAGGAGAAGCAGAGCTAGTAGGGGAAGAAGGGGCAGGGGGAACAGCACTGATGGAGGCTGCCGCAGCAATAGCTGCAGCAGAGAGAGAATCCCTTTCTTTCTTGGCATCTTCCAGTTCCATGGAGAGCTTGGCAACCTACAGAAACAACATCAATGGGAGAGCTTTTTAACTGCACTTCAGAGAGGAATGGGACTGGAAGAGACCTAAGGAATACAAACTTCTCATTTTATACACAAAGAAACTGAGAGGACTGAGACAGACAAAATGATTTGCTATATCACTATTTAGTGGCAAAGCCAAAACCAGAATTTGGACCTTTGTGTTCTTATTTTACAATGCTTTACATTAATAAGGCCACTTCAATCTTTACGCTTATCTTTCCCTCTGATTAGAAAATACAAAGGTCAATTAAATCAAATACTCTAATTACATAATTAACATGTATGGTACATGTTAAATAATCTGTAAAATATCACAAATTATTTGAGATCTATAACTGTGGAGACGGTGTGTGTGTGTGTG